AGGTCATATTCACAATGTCAGTCTCATCTACACTTTTTTTTTTAATTTTATTTTTTTTAATTTTTTTCCCCCCAAAGCCCCAGTAGATAGTTGTATGTCATAGCTGCACATCCTTCTAGTTGCTGTATGTGGGACGTGGCCTCAGCATGGCCGGACAACCCAGGCCGGGATCCGAACCCAGGCCGCCAGCAGCGGAGCACACGCACTTAACCGCTAAGACACGGGGCCGGCCCTGATCTACACTTTTTATTGCTGCTCCTTCCTCAAATCAATGTCCACATTGAGCCTGCGTCAGTTCCATGAATTTTAAATAGCACAACATCTGCTCTGCTACTCCCAACTGCAATAAGTGGTTTACTAAAACAACAGAACATCAGACGCTTTTTCAGAAATAGTATGTTACCAAATTTTAATATTTAAGAAAAAGGCTATTATAACTTTAATCTTAATACTGTAATTGAGAAGTGTTCTGAATAGTTGGCTGTTTTATTAAAAATACAATGAAGAGGCAAATGTAACATTTTTTGGGTGGTAAAATTGACTCCTGACTCTAACTTCTCTTTAAGATAATTTAATGTTGGACCAGACAGATTTACTCTTCTGAAGAATAATGGGGTAAAGAGTTGCTTTGCAGTTATATTTTATCATGCAAAAATAACGTCTACTTAATTTCTGTGGTGAACGTATTCAAATGTGTATTAAACACCTCCTACACTCTTCCATGCAAATAAACATGCCCAGTAAAGACAGGAGTAACTGAACATTGATACTCTGTGATATTTCATAGGGTCACAAATTGGCACTGCACGTATTTACTATCCTCTTATCCTCCCCCACCCGTCATCCTTGGTAGAAGTTTGAAGGCCCAGATTTTATAGCACGCCATGCACCTAATATTAAGAGTCCTACTTCATGTGTGAATATATCATCAATTTGCAGAACACAAGTGGTCTCATAGAGACAAAGAAATACAACTGGAGGCATTTTATTCACTGGAAGCATATTCTCACATGAGCATACTCATCTTTGATATGCAACACCATTAAGAAAAATCTATAGTCGGAAATGCCATGACAGGACTACATTAATCACAGCTGCTGCAAATATACAGATTAACAACCTCCTGTTCCACGTTAAATTCCACCCCACCTAGGTAAAGGCTTCCCCTAGCTAATGCCCCTTTTTCTGCCTCACAGAGACAGACATAAAATGAGACACATCAGTAAAAAAGAAAAAATTGTTCCAAAATTAAAATTTAGTATCAGGTATTGAAATGGCAACTAGGAACATATTTACCTATTTAAAGGACATTTTCATAGCTATTGTGAAATGTGATCAAAGTAATTTTTTCCACAGCCCCTTGATTCTCAATATAAATACTTTACTACTCAGTAATAATACTCAACAAGGGGTCAAGAAAATAAAGGACTAATATAGCTTAAGAACCTGCTGGTGTCTCAGTTTCACATACTTAGGTTTTTCAGGTTTATATCACTAATTTATCATCAGTTTAAATGAAAATTGGCAGATGATTTTAAAGCTAAGAATATCCAGCTTTCTGTTAAGCTCTTCATATCCTAATTTCAACTCCAAATTAGCCCATTTTACCCAAACACAAGCCCCTCAAAATAGAGGCTCATGAAGGAGATACAGCCACAGCCTAATTAACAGCAGCATGAACAATGCCACTATGATGTCCTCACAGAACTTAAATAAATTCAGCCCACAATGGGTGTGGTATATAATATACACATACTGTATCATTGCATACCAATATATTTACAAATATGTACATATATACAAAAAGTATACACAGAGATTGCATTGAGCATCACAAAAATATACACATGCCATTACAAATAAAATAAGGATTTCAAATAAATAAGGTCAACAAAAGAGCCCTCAACGTAAATACCCTTTATACTCTCCAAACAAACATACAGGAACATATACACCAAAATATCACCGGGAGATTCATACCATTCATATTCATATCAAATCTTTTTACTCACTTAGGGTGGGGAGGTGGGTTCTGAATCACTGGCAGTAGCCAAGTTTGCAGACCTTGGTACCTTACTCTATTTCCAGTCCAGAATGTTCTCTGTATATCAGGCTGATTACAAGTCTCTGTGGATAACTAAGCATAAGATTTTTCAACTGAGTCCAAACCCCTTCTAAGAGACAGAAAGTTACTAAGTCATACAGGTCAGAGATTAAACTTGGAGAAGAATGCTAAAGAAAGCTCCATAATGAATATATAAATCAGACTTGTTGCTTTTCCCTTTACCTCAACGAAATTCAGTTCAATCATCACCTAATCTGTTTCAGGGAATTCTACTGCAAGAAGAAAATAAAGGGCCGTAGCCACAAGTGAGGAAAAAATAAAACCCAGATTCTCTATCAGGAAAATTTCAGTCCTGACTACATTGCATTTGGCTTTTATAATCTCAAAATATTTCAACTTGGTAAAAATAGAAAGGGTACAATAAATTCCATGTGCTTTGAGAGGTTTTGAGAGCACCACTTCCTAGGAGGAAAACACACACACACACACACAAAGAATATATCCTGGCTAAAACCAAAGATAAAATGTCTGACTTCTGGATTTTTCATAATTAATCAAAATTTGCTAGCGCTGACTTACTGGTTTCAATATTTGCTATATTAAAAAAATATCATAACCTTTGTGCCAAAATATAAGTCTCTATTTCTTTCTTGTTCATTACAGAAAGCAACCAGAGCTGCTAGAAAGACTGGGCTGAGGTTAGGAGATTTGAGTTTTAGTTCTAGCTCTATCACTGCAAATAATCTGACAGTTTTTTGGGGTCTCAGTTTTCTCTTCTGTAAAATAGGGAAGATAGTTGCTTTACTAACTTCAGAAATACACGGATAAAGAAAGAGAAAAGAATTCCATTGTGCTTAATTTTGTTTTGTGTATAACTGACTTCTTGCAATCTTACACTTTCTATTTCATTTACAGTGAATTCTTACAGGAGGTGAGAGACTGTATCAGAATCTCCAGGGGGAGTTTGTGCAATTTGAAAACAAAGAAGTGCTCTTTCCCATTGCTTTGCTTTGTTCTTAGTTCCAACATTTAAATTTCTATAAATTCTAAAAATAAATAAAGGGCTTAACATTTTTATATTTATAAAGGGGAGCGGTATGCACTGAAAAAATGAGACTCTCTGCCATTGCCATCTTGAGCCCACTGGGTGAGTGTCCTTTTATGTTCCTTTCTCCTTGACTAAAGTAATGCCCTCAAGTGTAGAAGCTGGGTAATGGGTACAAGAGGGTTCATTAAACCCTGTGTACGTTTAAAACTTTCACCATAAAAAGTAAAAAAAAAAAGAAAGAAAAGACAAAGACACATGAAGTGTTTGCACAAATGTAATCTCAATAATGCCTACCCTGATCACTCATTTCACCATTGTTCTTTGCCCAAAAACAAACAAAAAATTTCCCTTACCATGCTCTAAATTTTCTTCATACTCCTTACAACTTTCTAACATAAATGTACTTATTTTTTACGTTTACTGCCTCACTCCTCCTACTAGAGTGTAAGCTTCATGAACACAAAGATCTTTAAGTTACTTTGTTTGCTTCCTCAATGCCCAGAACAAAATCTGGAGCATAGTTGTTGTTCAATACACGTTTTTCGAAGGCATGAATGAAACAACAGTTTAGAATTTTCTAGCACAGTTTTCCTCTCAAGATCACTTCAGTTCACTTTAGATCTTCAACTACCAGTAAGGAATTACACTACTATTAGCTTAAGGAGCAATGTCATCACCTAAACACTAATTGGTTTTCTAAGACCCCTTGTTCTTAAACAAACATGTTTCTAATCACAAAAGCTCTAATTTCTGCAGGAGATTCTCTCTCTCAAATAGTTTCTACAACAACTAGTTGGGACCCAGATATTTTCTTGACCAAAAACTAGGTACATATGATCTGGAAACAAAGTGTTGTAAACACTTAAATCAGGGAAACTAGTTTTCCAGGTGGCAAGGGTGGGGAAATCACTATCTTCTGGAACCAAGAGTTCAAATTATAGAACCATAGAATTGGATAGGACTTTGGGCCAATGCCTTCATCTCACAGATGAGAGTGCTAAAAAGCAGAGACATGAAGACACTAGTTGCCAGGAAAGCCAGGATTAGAACTCAGGTCTCCTAGTTCTCAGACCAGTGTTCTTTACACTAAATAGGTGAGGACAAAGCTCAGGATGAGAAATATTATTTTAAGCATCAGAGAACAGGAAAACATGTGTTGTTAGGAACACTACTGGCACAGAACTTCAGGGGAATTGAAACAAAAGTCAGACAACTAAGGATAGTCTATTGCTTAGTCCAGGTGAATACTGCTATGAAAGGAAAGTTACCAAGTTTATTAAGGTACTGAAAAAAAAGGAAAGCAGTCTTTATCTGATAATGACAAGCAACCCACTAGCAAAGGAAATCTCTCTCCAGGGTAACTTTTCCAAAGCTTTCTGAAATAATGTTTAAAAGAAGAAACAAAAATAATTTAAAACACTAAAAAAACACCACAAAGTCCCCAAAACCCAAGAATAATAACTTCAAGACTTCAGATGAAAAATAAGCAAATTGGAACAGGTAGACGAATAACTTAGATCCAAATAATTCTCTATGCCAGAAATGAAAACCAAGTTAAAAATTGTACAGTAAAATTTCCCTAGGGACATGGGAACGAGGCACCAAAAGCAATCATCTCATTTCCCCTGGCACTGCCAGAGGTAGAATGTGAGCCTGAACAGAAAATTAGGTAGAAGGGCTTCTGATTCATAGATTTCTGAACTTGAATGCTGTGGAGTTCAAAGAGGGGGAAAAAACATCATAGCTGGTGCCTGTGAAATTATGAAGGGAAGACAGGGAAGAGAAACACAAAAAACTTTACATTATACACTGAGTCCTATTTAAAATAATAAAAAACTTGTGCATGAATATAAAATATTAAATACAAGGAGTTTTAAAAAATCATATTTCCAAACTGTCAATGCAAAAGCCACTTCCACTTTAAGTTAAATAACAATTCAGTTACCTCCAACTAAAATTAATAACATCTCTGACTTTGAACTCTCATAAATTTGAACTAGGCAAAAAGATTACAGCCTCTGTACAGTATGCCACAGACTTCAATCTAGATAGTCTTTAAACTTGATCTCATGATTTAAGAGTTTAAACAGAATTCCTACTGGAAACACTGTGTTATGAAACTGACAATCTGATTTTTTGACTGAAATATTTAAAAGTTGTTGTTCTTTTTCATTTCCAACATTCAAAGACTACAAAGAAAATAAAGTATGCAAACATATCTCCTGATAACACAGGATACACACATTCCAAATGGTATTTATCATCTCAAGACCCCAATTAAAGATTTAGCTTTCAGATGCAAATCAATTCTATACAGTTTCTAAAATTTTGACAGTATTTGAACGAATTAAATGATTTCAAGAACTGTCTTGATTATGCTTCAAAGAATTACACGTTTATACCTACTAACTTGGAATGAAAAGAAATATTATGGAAGGACTCGGTTCTTGATTTTTGGTAGTCCATGCTGGCTAGTTTCACCTTTGTGAACAATTACATATTTTCCAAATCCACACATTTAAGGTCCAAGTATAAGAGCTGGATTTTCCACATTATACAAAAATAAATGATTTACTCTTCCCAGGGTGAGAATAGTGACTACTGGAGTGTAGGATTAGATGTTGGAGGTAAGTATCCATACCTCAAAACCAAAAAATAAAAATTCCAAGATTAATCGAGTTTTTTAAAAGACCTGAAAGATTGTATTTTAAAACAGTTACCCTAAAAGTTTGAACAATTTTTTCAGTTTGTTTTTAAAATGGTGGTCCTAAATTAAAAAATAAAAACTAACACCACTATGTGTCTGTCATCACATTAAAAAACTGCACCATTTAAAATCTGTGGCAAATGAAAAATTGTTTTGACAAGAGGATTTTTGTTTTAATAGTCATCTATGGTATTCTCAAGGAACACGTTTCGAACATCCAGAATGGATGCTAATTCCAAAATGTGCTTCTGGAGATGAGGGTTCTCCACTGTTTCATCCCTTGGCAGTTGTGGATATGATTCTGGATAATTTCGTGTTTCCTGGTAGGCAAAGAAGAGAAAAGTCAAGTTTTATAGTTTAATGAAAGAAAATTATACACATTAATAATATTGCTGTTAACATTAACAATATTAGGGAGAAACTTAGTATGTACTTTTCTTCTTCCTATTTGTATGATTCTTACTGGTAATATATTTGTTGAACATGTGAAATTGCTGACATTTGACCATTGTGACCTTAAAAAATGACAATTTCATATGGTTCAACCTAATATATTCATTTTGTGAGTTATTTCACAAATATTTACTGGGGCCTATCATTTCTGGGCACTGTGCCACATTGTGGAAACCATATAATTCCTACTTGCTGGGGGAAAAATCCTAGCACATATAGCATTTCAACATGTATTTGTTAAATGAATGAATAAATAGATGTTGCAGTGGAATTAAAACGAGAGAAAAGACATAAGAAGCACTGAAAAGGTCAAATTAATGGGCCTTGGCAACTAATTATAGGAGAGGGAGGTGTCAAAGATGACTGTAAGATTTCAGGAATGGATGACTTCAGAGAAGAGTTGGAAGCTACTGAGACAAAAAGAGAAGTAAAGAGATAATCTGAGATAATCTGAGGACAGTATAAACCTTCAAGTTTTGGGTATATTTTATTTGAGGTAATAGGGTAATACAAATAGAACTGCCCCACAACCACAATTTGAAAAATCAGGGCTGTATCTCAGAACACAAGTTTGAGCAGTATATGTAAACACTGATATAATCTGCATGGAGATAAACATTCAAGTCATGAAAATAAATGAGATTTCTAAGAATATTGGTAAATAAAGTGAAAAAAAGAGTCCCTAAAAAGGGAGACAAAAGATTGGGGGGAAAAAAGGACAGAGAAGGAATAACAAAAGAAAAAAGAAAAAAAAAATTGTAATTACATGGAAGCAAAAGAAGGAGACAACTTCAAGAACCAGGTAATTCTCATTTGGAAATTCTTCTTCATTTGGTAATGTCTATAGACTATAATTTTGCGCACATTTAAAATTTCCTGAAGAAATAAGTTACTACCTTTCTATGCATCTAACATGACAGCTCATATATTCAAATGTCATTTCTTTCTCTCTTATGCCTGTGAGCCTCACGCATTACAAAGACCAGATTTTTCTTTACCACACTAAATACTATGAGAACTGACAAAAATGAAATGTTCAAAAACCTGAAGAAAAAAAAAAAGGAAGAAAACAAGAACTACTGGGGCACTACTGTAAGCTGAACAATTCTCTCGGCTCCCACAGGGCTGGGAGATGTCTGAGTTCTGACCAAACACCTCCCGGAGTGGAGAATATTTGTTCAAACAGGGAACATAGGAAAGAGACCCCAGAAGAACCATGCCTCTTAGTATTAGGCCAAAATAAGCCTATATCTGCATGCTAATGCTACTCTAAATCCACCCCTAAAAAGCTTAAAAACAGGCCATGAAAAGGTCAAAGAGATGCACAAGCAATTTAACTCCTGCCAGAACAAAGTCCAATACTCGTTAAAGAAAGATAACAAAACCCAGAATCCACTATCATAAAATTCACAAAGCCCACAATCTAACAGAAAATTACTAGACATGAGACCCCCTAACCAGTAGGAAAAACAATAAAAACAAACCTATAAAGGATAGAAAATACATAGTATTAGCAGGTGAGGACTTCAGCTATTACATATACATTCAAGAGCACAAAGGAAAACATAAATATAATAAGGAGAGAAATGGAAAACATTAAAAGAAACAAATAGAACTTCTAGAGATGAGAAAAATGTAATCTCTGAAGTGACAACCTAGATGCGATTAATAGCATATTAGACACTGCAGAAGAAAACATCATGAACTTGAAGACACGGCAATAGAAACTGAAACATGAAGAGAAAAAAAGACTTAAAACTGAAGAGCACATCAGTGACGTGGAGGACAATATTAGGTTGTCTAACATATATGAAACTGATGTCTCAGCAAGAGAGAAAGGGAGGAGGGGAAGAAAAAATATTTGAAGAAATAATGGCTGAAAATATTCTAAAATATTTTAAAACTATAACCATAGGTCCAAGATGCTCAATGAACCCCAAGTAGGAAAAAAACAACAAAGAAAACCCTATCAAGGCACATCATAATCAAATTATAGAAAACCAATATAAAGAGAAAATCTTAAAAACAGCCAGAGGAGGGGCCGGCCTGGTGGTTCAGTGGTTAAGTGCGCGCACTCCACTGCGGTGGCCCGGGGTTCGCTGGTTCGGATCCCGGGCACGCACCGACGCACTGCTTGTCAAGCCATGCTGTGGCGGCGTCCCATATAAAGTAGAGGAAGATGGGCATGGATGTTAGCCCAGGGCCAGTCTTCCTCAGCAAAAAGAGGAGGATTGGCAGATGTTAGCTCAGGGCCGATCTTCCCCCCAAAAAAAAAAACAGCCAGAGGAAAATGAAAAGACATTACATATTGCAATAATTAACAGAACAAGTATGCAGAAAATCAGTAAGGATATAAAGAACTTGAACAACATTATAGACAAACATGATCTAACAGACATATTTTATAGAACTCTTCATCCAACAGCAGCAGCAAATACATTCATTTCAAGAGTCCATAGAACATTAACCATGATAGACCACATTCTGGATGATAAAGCAAGTCTCAATAAATTTAAAAGACCTCAAGCCAAAGTATATTATCTGACCTCAAGGGAATTAAATTAGAAATTAATAAGATAAAGATATCTTGAAAATTCCCAAATATTTAGATATGTTAAACAATATATTTTAAATAACTCATAGTTCAAAAAAACAAATCAGAGTGAAATAAAGAGTATTTCAGATAAATAAGTAATGAGAGAATTCACCACCACCAGATTAGCACTATAAGAAATGATAAAGGAAATTCTGTACTAAGAAAAATAATACCAGATGGAAAATTAAATCTATAGAAAGAAAGAAAGAGTACCAGAAATGGTAAAAAGATAACATTTTCCTCCTCATTTAAAATTTTTTAAAAAAGATAATTGACTCTTTAATGCTATGATAACCACCAAGTATCGAACAGTATATATCCTATGTAAAAGTCAAATATATGACAATAATAGTAGAGAGAAGGGGAAGGAGAAAATCAAAGTATATTGTTGCAAGACAATTATATTAAATGTGAAGTCATATTAAAAAAGTAAAGCAAGAGATATAGCATAAATAAATAGTGTTTTAAATTAAAACTCTAAAACAAAATAAAACCTCAATTAATTCAAATGAAGATGAAGGCAAGGGAGAAAGGAAAAAGGTACAAACCATAGCCAGGACAAACAGAAAACAAATAATACTATATTTAAATCAAACTATATTAAAAATTACATTTAATATAAACATAATTTAAAACTAAAAATGTCAAGTAAAAGGTAGAGATGGTCAAACTAGATTAAAAAAAGCAGGACTGAATAACTAATGCTGTTGAAAAGAAATCCACTTTAAATATTAAGACAGACATAGGTTAAAAGTAAGAGGATGAAAAGAGATTTGCCATGCAAATACAAACCAGAAGAAAACAGGTTTGGTTAAATTGGTTACATCAATATTGAACAAACTGGATTGCAGATCAAGGAATACTGCCATGCATAATGACAGACATTTCATAATGATGAATGAGCAATTTCAAGAAGACATAACATCTCTAAGTATGTATGAACTCAATAACAGCTTCAGAATGCTCAAAGAAAAAACACAACTGTAATAAGAAACTAACCAATTCACAATTATAATTAGAGGTTTAGATACTCCTCTGTCAGGGATAGAACAAGCAGGCAGAAAATCATTAAGAAACAGAAGACTTCAAGAACACTGTTTAAAAATAGTTCAACATCAAATTGAACAAACTGACATTTATACATCACTCCATATAATAAAAGCAGAACACACATTCTTTTCAAGAGCAGAGAGAACCTTTACCAAGATAATTCATGTGCTGGGTCATAAAACAAATCTCAATAAATTTGAAAGTACTGAACTCAGAGAACTAAAGCAGTGCTTAAAAGGTAAGTACTTGTATTAGAAGAGGAAAAAAGTTTTAGATCTAAGCTTAAAAATATAGAAATTAAAAGAGCAAATTAAAATCAAAGTAATTAAAAAGAAGAAAAACAACAATGTACTAATGGAAATAAACAGAAAAGAGACAAACAGTAGAAAATCAGTGAAAGCAAAAACTGTTTATCTGGAAAGATCATTAAGATTAATAAGCCGTTAGCTAGGCTGAAAAAGAAAAAAAAATGAAACATTATAAATATGAAGCATGAAAGATCACTAAAGAGCCTACAGGAATTAAAAGGATAATGGAATACTATGAACAATTTTTGGCAATAAATTAGACAAACAACTTGCAAGACACAAATGATCAAAATTGACTAAGAAGAAACAGAAAACATGAACACACTTTGAAATTGAATTCACAATTTAAAACCTTCCAAAAAAGAAAACCCCCAGTCCAGATAGATTCACTGATTAACTCTATCAACTGCTCAAGGAAGAAATAATACCAATCCTAAAGAAATTCTTTAAGAAACAGAAGAGAATGAAACACATCCCAATTCAATTTATGAGGTCAGCATTACCCTGATAACAAAACTACATAAAGACATTTACAAGAAAACTAAATACCATAATCATTCATAAAAACAGATGCAAAAATCCATAATGAAATATCAGCAAACTGAAACCAGTAATGTAAAAGGATAGTAAATGATCACAAAATGTGTTTAACCCAGATATATAAGGTTGACTTACAATGAGAAAATCAATGTTATTCACCATGTTAACAGAATTAATATGTATCAGATCAATTAATGTAGAAAAAAAGTATTTGACAATCTTCCATACCCATTTCTGATAAAAACTCAGCAGATTAGGAACAGAAGGGAGCTCAGTCAACCTGAAAAAGGGATCTATGAAATATCAACAATTAACATCATAATTTAATGTGAAAGACTAAATATTTTTCCCTTAAAACCAAGAACAAGGCAAGGACATCCATTCTCACTACTCTATTCAACATTTTACTGGAAGACCTGCCTTGAAATAAAGCACAAAAAAACAATAAAAGGCACACAAATTGGAAAGAAAGAAGTAAAACTGTTTTTGTTTGAAGATGACATGATTATGTACTAGAAAACCTTAAAGAAGGTATAAAAAAAGCTAACGGAACTAATACTTCAATTTAGCAAGACTGCAGGATATAAGGTCAATTTAAAAAACAGCACTGTTTCTACATATTAGCAACAAACAATTGGAAAATGAAATAAAAAATACAATTCTACTTAGAAAGCATCTCAAACCTTAAAATACTTTGTAATAAATTTAATAAGATACATGTAAGACCTGTATGATGAGAACCACAAAATGCTGCTGAAAGAAACTACAGGAGACCTAAATAAATGGGGAGATATACCATATTCATTGATCGGAAGACTCAATATTATTAAAATACAACTCTCCACAGACTGATCACATAGATTAAATGCAATATTGGGCCGGTCCCACGGCTTAGTGGTTAAGTGCGCGCGCTCCGCTACTGGCGGCCCAGGTTCGGATCCCGGGCGCGCACCGATGCACTGCTTGTTCGGCCATGCTGAGGCCGCGTCCCACATACAGCAGCTAGAAGGATGTGCAACTATGACATACAACTATCTACTGGGGCTTTGGGGAAAAAAAAAGGGAGGAGGATTGGCAATAGATGTTGGCTCAGAGCCGGTCTTCCTCAAGAAAAAGAGGAGGATTAGCACGGATGTTAGCTCAGGGCTGATCTTCCTCACACACAAAAAATAAATAAATAAATAAATAAATGCAATATCAATCAAAATGTGGATATGCTAAAATCCACATAGATATGCAAAGGACCTAGAACACCCAAAACACTTAAATTTTCAGGGGGGACTCACGCTACAGGATTTCAAGACTTACTATAAAGCTACAACAATCAAGGCAGTAGAGTGTTAGAGAAAAATGCCAGAGGTCAATGGAACAAAATTTAGAGTCCGGAAATATCCCTATATATACATGGCTGACTGATTTTCAAAAAAGTTACCAAAGTAACTCAATGAGAAAAGGATAATCTTTTCAACAAATGATACCAGAACAATTTCATATCCATATGGAAAAAAAAAACACTTTAATCTTTACCCCACACTGTAAACAAAAATTAACTCAAAATAGATCATAGACCTAAATGTACAAGCTAAAACTATAAAACTCCTAGAAGAAAACATAGAAGAAAATCTTTGTGACTTTGGGATAGGCAAAGATTTCTTAGATAAAACACAAACCACAAAAGAAAACAATTGTTTGGTTGAAACTTCATCAAAATTTTAAAAATTTAGTCTTTAGGGCCGGCTCCGTGGCTTGGCGGTTAAGTGCGCGCGCTCTGATGCTGGCGGCCCGGGTTCGGATCCCGGGAGCGCCCCGAGGCACCACTTCTCCGTCCAACGTGAGGCCGAGTCCCACGTACAGCAACTAGAAGGATGTGAACCTATGACATACAACTATCTACTGGGGCTTTGGGGGGAAAAAACTGAATAAATAAAATCTTAAAAAAAAAAATAAAAATAAAATAAAAAAAATAAAAATTTAGTCTTTAAAAGCCACTGTTAAGCAAACAAAAAGGCAAGCCACAGCATGTGATAAAATATAGCTAATAAGCACATAAAAAGATGTCCAATAGCATTATTCACCAGTGAAATGCAAATTGAAACTACAATGAGATACCACTATAAATCCACCAGAATGGTTAAAATTTGGAAGACTGACAACACCAAATGTTGGCAAGGATGTAGAGAAATGTTCATATATTCTTACTGGGAATATAAAATGATACAATGACTTGGAGAAAAAGTCTGGCAGTTTCTTATAAAACTAAACACATACCTGCTTTATGACCAAGAAAATTCAAAATATATGTCTGTACAAAGACTAGTACAACGTTTACAGCCGCTTTATTTCTGACAGTCAAAAATTTAAAACTGCCCAGGTGTTCTTCAAAAGGAGAAGACCTAAATAAACTGTGGTATATTCAGACAATGAAATACTACTTAGGAATAAAAAGGAATGAGCTACTTATACATGAAACAACATGGATGAATCTCAAGAACAATATGCTTGGTCAAAATTTTACACAAAAGAAACCATACTGTATAATTCAAGTTTATGAATAAGTGGAACTAATCAGTAGTGATAATAATAAAAAGGGCGTTGTCTCTGGGGTAATGGGTAGTGGACTGACTGGAAAGGGGTGTGGAGAGAATTTTCTGAAATGATGCTCTGCTGTATATTTGACTGGGGTTTGAGTTACACAGGTGTATGTATTTGGCAAAACTCATCTAATGGTACACGTCAGTTTTGTGCATTTCACTGTATGTAAATTTTACATTAAAAAAAGAAGTAAATATATATATATAAAATTTCAGTTATTTATATGCATGATGAAGTGTTGAGGGGTAAAGTCTACTGATGCCCACAATTTACTTCAAAATGCATCAAAAAATGGGACGAATTGATGAATGGAAAGAGGGATGGATAAATGGACAAAATGTGAGAGAGCAAATACACCAAAATGTTAACTGCAGAATCTAGATAGTGTGTATACAGGTACACACTGTATAATTAACGTTTTAAAATTACAATAATAAAATACTATATTTTAAAACTAAAACTTACAAAAGACTTTTAAAAATGTTCAGGCATATTTGAAAAAGAACCAAATGTTACCTACAGAATTAAAAAATATAATGGCTAAATTTTTTTTTTTTTTTTTGTGAGTAAGGATCAGCCTTGAGCTAACATCCATGCCAATCCTCCTCTTTTTGCTGAGGAAGACTGGCTCTGAGCTGACATCTATTGCCAATCCTCCTCCTTTTTTCTCCCCAAAACCCCAATAGATAGTTGTATGTCATAGTTGCATGTCCTTCTAGTTGCTGTATGTGGGACGCGGCCTCAGCATGGCCAGAGAAGCGCCGCGCTGGTGCGTGCCCGGGATCCGAACCCGGGCCGCCAGCAGCGGAGCACGCGCACTTAACCGCTAAGCCACGGGGCTGGCCCCTAATGGCTAAAATTTTTAAAACCTCAATGAACAGTGTTACGAATACATGAGTACACAGAAAGAAACCAGCTACTTAAGAGCAAAACAGACAAGGGACTTGAACACACTCTTCACAAGAAACACAGAATAACAGGTATGAAACGTTGCTCAACCTCAATAGTAATCCCAGAAATGAAAATTAAAACCACAGTGAGCTACTACTTTACACCCACCAGATTCACAGGAAACATAAAGTATGACTGAAACAAGTGTGACAAAGATTAGAGCACTAGCACCTCTTACACACTGCTGGTGTGAGTGTAAAGTGATACAACCACTTTGCAAAACAGTCTGGCGTTACCTAGTAAAGTTGAATATGGCTCCATCCTCTGACCTCACAATTCCACTATTAGGTACACTCCCCACAGAAAACTTTATATATGTGTACCAGGAAACTGAAAGAAGATTCCACAGTACATCATTTATAATAATACAAAAATGGAAACAACCCAAATGTCCATTATCAGTAGTATGGATGAGTAATTTGTGATATATAGTCAAACAACAGAATCCTATATAGCAGTGAAAATGAATGAATGAAAGCTACAGTCAGTCATCAACACGGCTCAATCTCAGGAATGTAATAGGGAGTAAAAAAAGCAAGTTGCAGAACAATACATACAATAAGGATCCATCAATATGTTGTGTAGGAATACAAATACATGTGACAAAACTATAAAGAAAAGAAAATGATAATTATAAAATTCAGGATTTTAGTTTCATTTGAGAGGGAGACAGGATCAGGGAAGACCCACAGAAGGGCTTCAAAGGTAACGAAAATGTTTTACTTCTTAAGCTGGGTTGTAGGTACTCAGATTTGCCTTATATTGTTCATCTTTATACCTTACATTTCAATTTGTGAATATTATTTTGGATCTATTCAGGCTTTATTTAATACAGGTAAAATACAATACATGATTCTTAAATACTAAAAATGGTACAATTGGTCCTTAATAACATTCTTTGCCTACCCGAAAAATCTTGTGCATCCTCATGGTGGCTGAACAAAAGATAAATCTTGTGAGAAGCAAGCGGAGAAATTCATCTCCAAAAAACTGGAGAAATGCCTGATCTGCAAAGAGGAGAAAGGTGACAGTAAAGGGACACTTAAATGGAAAATACATCTCAAAGGGGAAGAAAAGTTCAGGAAAACCTTCTCAACGTTGCTGCCTTCAACAAGTACCTTTAAAAATTCAAACACTTTAAACAATTTTAAGCCAGTTTAAATCATTACAGTACGTTCTGTTAATTGTGGAGTTAGATTAGTAGGGTACCTATTGAACGTGAATGGGTCAGTAGCTGGGCAATGTCGCGGTTGATTTTTCGAAGATATTCTTGACACTTTTCCCACAGGCCTCTACGCATGCTTGACAATCCAGAGACAAATAGGAAGGCCATTAGAGGATTGTTCAAAAAGAGAGTGAAGAGGCTACCTCGTTGAGATTGATCTGTAATAACAAACATGTTATATATATATATATATATATAAAAATAACACTTTTCCAAAAGATAAGAGATGCATTTGAGGAATATCTTAATATGCTGATAATGTATAAAATTAAAGCTATATCATTAAATCATAATTCAACAAAGTAAATTTTGCATGGAACTACAAAAACATATACCAGGTACGTTGCTTTCTGCTGAATGAGCTTAAGATAGAGCCTAGTAAACTTGAGAGAAATGGAAAACAAACACATTCCTTTGCCTTTTCCCCTCTAACTTACAAATTTCATTCAAATATGGCAAGTGCTGGATCATGAGCTGACAAGTACTAGAACCGCCAATCTTTTTCATTCTCCTTTATTAGTTGCTCTTTCTCTGCCTATGCCTTAAATACCAACATGTTCTTTCTTTGGCCCTACACATTGCTGACCTCACCTACTACCATAACTTTGGTTATCCTTCATATGCCTACTGATTCCCAGTTCTCTAGTTGTAGCCTAGACTGAGCTCCTTAGGTCTGGAACTTTGCTGTCCTACGGTAGCTGCTGGACACTTAAAATGTGACTGGTCCAAATTGAGACACACTGTGAAGTGTAAAAAACATATGGGATTTCAAAGCTTCAGTACAAAAAGATATATTGTTAACTTTAATTTCACCTATTTCACCTATTTCTACTTTTTTTCAATGTGGCTACTAGAAAACTTAAAATTACATATGTGACTCCCATTGTATTTCTATTGGACAGAGTTGCTCTAGACTACCATATTCAACCTAACTCTCAAAGGTAACCTCAACCTCAACAGGTCAAAAATTGAAAGGAAATTCTTTCCCCTTTTGTTCTTTCACAAATCTGCTTTTTATCCAGTACCGTCATTTTTACCAGCACCTCAGCTAGAAACCTGGAGTCCATACCTGCCTCCTTCCTCTCCCTTGTTCCCTCACATCCAGTCCATCACCAAGTCCTGTTGGTTCTCTTGACGGAGTATCTTTTGAAGCCAGCTAACTAGCCACTGTCCCGGCTCTGGCCACCACCATCTGCCTATTTCCATCAATGCTCCTCTCCGATTCATTCTTCACAAGGTTACGTGAATGCTCTTTCACGCTACTCCTCTGTTCAAAATCTTTTGATGGCACACCATTTTCCCCCATTTAAATCTCTTAACAAATCTTAAAAGGTTTTTCATAATTCAGTCACACAATCCCAAACTCCACCCTTTAACTAGCAGGAACTACTTTAATTTTTCTAAATGTTCCATAACCTCTCTCATCTCGGGGCTCACACGCTCTCTCTCTGCTAGAACACTCTTGTTCAACCCTTCCCCATCCCCATCTAATTCTACATACCCTCCAACTCCACTTCAGACATCATTTCACCCACTCTCTTCACCCTCAAGGGCTGGTTAGGAGTTCCTCTGATGTGTGCTTCCTCCTATGAAACACTAATAGCACCTACAGTAATTGCCTTTTGGGCTGTCTTATCTTTACTGGACATTTGGCTCTTGTGAGAAATATAACTGTGTTTGTCTGGTCAGAGTGTTATCTCCAGTGCCTAGCACAGTACTTGACAAATAAATGTTGAGTAAATGTTTGTTGAATGAATGAATTAACTCTTGGTTAAAGAGAGAACTGTAGACTTTATTTTTTATTTATTTATTTTTTGTGAGGAAGATCAGCCCTGAGCTAACATCCGTTGCCAATCCTCCTCTTTTTGCTGAGGAAGACCGGCCCTGGGCTAACATCCATGCCCATCTTCCTTTACTTTATATGGGACGCCGCCACAGCATGGCTTGACAAGCGGTGCCTTGGTCCACAACCGGGATCCGAACCTGCAAACCCAGGGCCACCAAACGCGAACTTAACCACTACGCCACCAGGCTGGCCCCAGAACTGTAGACTTTAGATACCAGAGGTACAGGAACTGAATTTAACATTCCAAATACTTAGGTATCTGCTAGTTTTGTGCCCAAACAGGGCACATTTAAGGGATTAGAGGTCTAAGCTTTATAGCACAAAAATAGGGTACTGAACTAAAAAATGTTAAGGACATATTACAACTAAGCATATTAATAACGATGTCAGCACACATTGGATATTTACTATATACCCAGAATTATTTAATGAGGTAGGTACTACTATTATCTCCACTTGATAGGAAAGAAACTGAGGCACAAAATGGCTGAGTAACTTCCCAAGGTCACACAACTAGTAAGTGGTTGAGTTTGGATTTAAATCCAATCAGTGTGCCTCTAGAGTCTGTTTTTTTACCCTTTACACAATAAAGCCTTGGTATTAACCCATTAGACAATGCAGTTTTAAATAAAGCTGCATCTTGATAGGACAAATGGATAACAAAAAGTACTCTCAGTTAATTGGAAGGGGTTCCATTTCTCCAGAAATGATAAGAAACAGGTTAACAAAGTCGTCAAAGCAGGAGAATTTTACCGTTGTTTGAAGGTAAGTTCTATCCCTTGGTAATTTGACTTCTGGAAACATGAACATAATATTTCTACATGTTTTTCCCTATTAAATAGCAGAACTTACCTTAAAACAACGGTGAAAAGTCTCCAGCTTCTCTCAGGCATTCAAACGCTGACCATCACTTCCTGTGTCAAACTATGTCAGCGGACGGGACTTCTGGCTGGGAAGTAGCAGTAAAATGCCATCTCCCACAGAGAGACACCGCACTATTCACAGTCAGGGAGATAGTGAAACAGTGACAAGGACGGCCAAGACAGTGGCAACGTTTGTTTAGTATTTCACCTAGCCTAATGACTGCGAGTTAGAATCGGGTTTTATGTGTTGCTTGCTTATTAAGGACATATTATTCAAGACAAAAAGTCTTTCATTTCTCGGCCATCTGAGAAATGGCCCAAACACTGACCTGTCTCTCTGGCCCACTGAGAAGAGGTTCTTTTATTTAAAAAATACGAGGTAACAAAGTGAACAAAAGAAATCCTTTCAGTTGTGCCAGTTAGGTTATCTAACTCTTAGGTACAGGCTGAGACGTTTTCTAGACCAGAAATCTTTTGCTCTTAAAAGATGGCTAAAGTCTGTAACCAAAGATACAGGAAATCATGCTACACGGATGAAGACAAGCACACCAAAACAAACATCTGCAAAACACATTAGAAAATTCATGAATTGTGAGTTCCCCAACAGTGAAGGACTAAAACCACTCCTTTCTCAGGGATGATTTATTATTTCTTTTAGAATTATCTCAAGGCCCAAAGGTAGCAGATTAAACAAGTCTGTTTGTTGGCAAGACTTCTAGGTTTATTTCAGATTGACACGTGCCACATTAAACACTATAAATCCACATGTGATCATTATGGGTGGGAGAGACAAAGATCAGCATTATTCAAAAGGTAGACAGCGTTTATTTACAACCTACAACAGGTGAACATACCTTGTAAAGCTTTTGGATATGCTGTAGGAGAAAGCAAGCAGACTAGTGGCTGTCCAAATAAGTTTGTGAAATTCTGTAATATATAAGAGTTTAAAACTTTCATTAAAGATTTGACCAAAGACAGTCACTCAGTAATTTCCCAAAGCACATCATTAGTGTATAGATTGGGCCCTTTTACTCATAAGCAGATGCAGAAACATCTGCAACAGCTGAAGAGACTGCCATTCATATATAACTACCATGCAAAACAGACTTTCTTAAAATAGTGAAGTTTACCAAGTGAACTACTGATGTTTTAAATGAAGTTTACCAAGTGAACTACTGATGTTTTAAATAAAGGCATTTACATGGTTGTAGCATTACAAGGAGAGGTCATCTGGCTATCTACCAAGAGCCACCCCACTGGGCAACATACACTAGTATTTACAGGGGTGAATTTTCCAAGATCTAGGATCTGGCTCTCAGTCTCACAGGCTCTAGAACCTGACTTACTTGTACGTGAAGACTGGATCCATCTCTCATTGTGGATCATATTAACTGCTCACATAGAGTGATGTATAAATCTAAAATGTCAATGCATTCCTTTACAGTGAGAATTAAACTAACACTCAAACTAGAATACCCTTTGCATGATTAAGGATCTCGTTTCCCTAAATGCAGATCTACACAGGAAGTAAAAATCACAGACTGCTAGGGGCCGGACCGTAGTGGTTAAGTTTGCAAGCTCCACTTCGGCGGCCCAAGGTTTTCAGGTTTGGATCTCCGGCGCGGACCTACACACCACTCATCGAGCCAAGCTGTGGCAGACGGGCTGTGGCATTCCACATATGAAGTAGAGGAAGATGGGGACAGATGTTAGCCCAGGGCCAATCTTCCTCAGCAAAAAAAGGAGGATTGGCAATGGAGGTTAGCTCAGGGCTAATTTTCCTCACCAAAAAAAAAAAAAATCATAAACTGGCAAAACAATAAGAAAGATAAAACTCCCAAGAGTAAACTTAATAAGAAGTGAATAAAAGCAAAAATAACTTACAAACACTCCTGAATGATAAAAATGAAGAGTTGAACAAACAGAAAAACATACTATATTCTTAGAGAGGAACCCATTCTAAAGATTTCATTACATCAGTTTATTAAACTTTAAACCAACCTTAATAAAAATGACCACGGATTTTTTCCTGCAACTGAAAAAAATAATTCTCAAGTTCATATGGAAAAAGAAGATTAGCCAGGAAAACTCTGAAAAAGAAGAGCAAAGAAGGGGAACTAGACTCATCAGATATTAAAACAGACTTTAAAGCCTCAGTGATTGGGGCCGGCCCGGTGGTGCAAGCAGTTAAGTGTGCGTGCTCCGCTGCGGCAGCCTGGGGTTCGCCGGTTCGGATCCCAGGCGCGCACCGACGCACTGCTTGGCAAGCCATGCTGTGGAGGCGTCCCATATAAAGTGGAGAAAGATGGGCATGGATGTTAGCCCAGGGCCAGTCTTCCTCAGCAGAAAAAGAGGAGGATTGGCAGATGTTAGCACAGGGCTGGTCTCCTCACACACAAAAAATAAAATAAAGCCTCAGTGATTAAAAATGTGTGGCACTGAAGAGGCAGAAGATCAATGGAACAGAATCAAGAGTCCAGAATTAGACCCCAAAACAGACAGGACTTGAGTATATATGCTAAGATGACAGTTCAAATTGGTGGGAAAGACTGGATAGCAATATAGGAAAAAATGTTGGCTCTATACCTCACACCATTCACTAGGATAAATTCCCAATACATCAAAGATTTAAATGTAAAAAATTAAACAATAAACGTGCCAAAAGAAAATAAGGGTTATTTTTGTAACCTAGGAGATCTTCCTAACTATTACGATTAGGATTAATAAACCCAGTTACACAAAACAAAGGCTTATGCATAGTAAAATATAGCATAAACTAAATCAAAAGCCGAATGATGAACTGAGGAGAATACTTGCAACTCACATTACAAAGGATTAATCTCCTTAATACAGAAACAGATTCTCCAAATTCATAAGAAAAAGACCACTGACCCAATAGAAAAATGGATGAAAGATAACAAGGAATTCACAGAAAAGGGAATACAACTGGCTCAAATACATGAAAAGATGCTCAACCTTACTGACAATACGAGAAATAAAATCAGCTACACTAAAATACCATTTTTAACCTATCAGTTTAGCAAAATTTCCAAAAGTTTGAGTATATACACTATTGGCAAATATATGGGGAAACAAACACTCATATATATAGGGGGTAGGAATATACACTGGTACAAACTCTTTAGAAGACATTTTTGCAGTATCTAGTAAATCCAAATGCATATTCCATTAACACAACAATTCCACAACTAGGAATTTACCCCACAGATATACTCTCAAACCTGTGAAATACCATAAGTCCAAAGTTACTCCTTTTGCATTTTTAGTAACAGTAAAGGACTGGAAACAATCAATGATCAGCAATAAGGGATTAGTAGAATAAATTATGGCACAGCCATACAATGGAATACTATGCAGCTTTAAAAAAAAAGAACGAAGAAGTTATTTATGAATGGATATGGAAAGATCTCCAACATTTCTTATTAAGTGAAAAAAAGTAAGATACAGAACAGTGTGCACAGCATGTTTCTACCATTTATCTAGCTAAGAAGACTAAAGACTATATATTTGTTTTGGCTTTTATATGCATTTAAAAAAAATTTCTAGAAGGATAAACAAGAAACAGACAACAGTGATTACCTACATGGAGAGATAGTAACTGAGTGAATTAGGATTGGGAGGGATGAAGAGATTTCACAATATGCCTTTTTGAAATTTTTGAAAATAATAATCAATATAAAAAAATTAAACAAATAATTAAGATAAATTAGAAATTTCTTGTAATCAAAACAAAAGGAGTAAGTTGAACGCTATTAAGGAGCATTGTTCCAATAAGGCAGCTTGAGGCATTCTTCCACATTGTAGAGATGCCTTCTGGATCCTTGGCCACGATGCTCTCGCTCTCAGATAGTGCTAACATGGACACTGCTGTTCTTTACGTCCCAAGGTCTCCCTTTTCTTTGCTTTCCTTGTTGATCAACCTGTCTTCCGATTTTTTTTTTTTTTTTTTTAAATACTGTGTAGAAAGAGTTAGCATAACAGGCCTGTTACCCTTTGAAAGACCTGCTTACAAGGTTGGCCCTTGGCTGGCTTCTGGAAACAGATTTGGGGAGGGTTCCCACCATTAGCAGAACTGATAAGAGTGGCTCACGTCGCCTAGACTGTGCAAACAAGATGGTTTATGCTGAACACCTGCTCCAGCTTTCCTTCCAGGAGAGCGGCATTTTGGTTCATGCCAGGCAGAGGGTGTCTACATGACCAGTCCCCAATAAAAGCCCTAGGCACGGAGTCCCTAGTGAGCTTCCCTGGCAGATATTTCACCCGTGTCCCCCTTGTTGCTGGGAGAATTAAGCACATCCTGTGTGGCTTCACCGGGAGAGGACTCTTGGAAGTTTGCACCTGCTCTTCTCTGGACTTCATCCCATGTGCCTTTTTCCCTTGCTGATTTTGCTCTGTATCCTTTTACTGTAATAAATCTTAGTAGTAAATATGACTATATGCTGAGAACCATGAGTCCTCCTACTGAATCACTGAACCTGGGGGTGACCGTGGGGACCTCTGATTCCCCTCTATCAGATTATATTTAAATTTTAGGCCTGAGAAATGGTTTCTTAAAGGATGTTTCACATGTCTCTATTCTGACCCATTCAGTAATTAATTTTGTAGTTTAACTTCCATAGGATAATCTTATTTTTGTTATTTGCAAGTTTTTGGAAATGTCTCATAATTGCCCCCATATGTGGATTATATGATTCAATGCTATTACATTTAAGAAAAATTATGGCAAATGTATGTAAATGGAACATATGTCGAAGAAATTTTAACTTGTTATAGCTCATGTGTAAGAGTTATTGATTTTTATATATTCTTTTTTTTTTTTTTTAAAGATTTTATTTATTTATTTTTCCCCCCAAAGCCCCAGTAGATAGTTGTGTGTCATAGCTGCACATCCTTCTAGTTGCTGTATGTGGGACACGGCCTCAGCATGGCCGGAGAAGCAGTGCGTCGGTGTGAGCCCGGGATCCGAACCCGGGTTGCCAGCAGTGGAGCGCGCTCACTTAACCACTAAGCCACGGGGCCGGCCCTGATTTTTATATATTCACCCCATATCTAACTACTTTGCTGAATTTGTGTTCACATTAATAGTTTTTGTGATTCCTCTTGATTTTCTAAATATAAAATCGTATCATCTATAATTAATGATTTTTGTCTCTTTCCAATATTTACACTTCTTACTAGTCTGGACAACTTTTTTTTATTGTTTTATTTCGAGAATGTTATGAAATTCAGGTCAGGACTAAAACAAGATTAATCACAATGATAACAGCAGGCATTCTCTTTTTCTTTCTTATTTTAACTAAGAATACTTTTAGTGTTTCTCACTCTAAGTACAAAGTTGGCTACTTAACATAGAAGCTCTTCATCATAAGCTGAGAGTTTTTTTGTTAAGAATTGGTACTGAATTTTATTAGATTTTACAAAATGACCATCGAGATAAGCATGTGATTTTTCTTATTTTTCCTATTGATATAGTATATACAATGTCAATTGATCTTCATATATTTAACCTTCATGCATGATTCAGATAAACTCTTTTGGTAGATCATTCTATTAATAGCTCTATTACTAGTATTTTGTTTAAATTTTTCTAATCTATAACGATAAACTAATCTAGAGTACAATTTTCCTTTGTGTGCTATTTTTGTCTTGAAATAGTGTCACTATCATAATGATTCCTGTCATTTACTGAGTGCTAACCACTTTCCAGGGACTATCCTCACCTTCTCAGATCCTACCCTGTCATCTTAACAATCCTGTGGGCTCAGTATTGCCAATCTATTTTACCAAGAAGGAAAAAGAGGCTCCGAGAAGACCAAGGACATGCTTAAGATGATACAAGTGTCTTGTGGCCTAATTGCTAAAGAATGAATTGGATAGTTCTGATCTTTTCTGGAATTGTGTATTTG